CGGCCAGAAGAGCTAAACATGGTAGGGACATTGTAGGCTGCAATGTATTGTAAGGCTGAGGGGGAAAGGGGATAAAAATCAATTGTGGCCCTATTCATCTTTCTGATGCTCAGATTTTAAGTGTACAATCTAGTGCAACTTTCACCTGTTTGGAACTGTTGTAATGTGTAGAACGGTGGAGTCATGAGCAGTCTTCTGAAAGGCAATCACACGCTTCATCTGAAGGTTATACACGTATATGCCCTTTCCAACAGCAGCAAAGACACACTGGAAAGAAAATGCAATGGAACCTCATAAGAAAACAGACATACTACATGGTATAATGGATTTTCAGTAGAACTGTGACACTGTTACTTTTCAAATGACTGGGAAGATAAACAGTAAACAGCCGATTAAACTGTAATTACCAATAAAATTACACACAAACATTGGACATTATGCTTAAATTCATGTGGATGCTACAATTTGTAACATCCAATTGTACAGGAAATTATTTTGATCTCATCCTCAACCTCACTTCAAGACATCTGAAGATCTCTGAAAATCTTCTGCTAGGCCTCTTGTGGCTGAGCTGGTCAGCTCCATCCTATCACACCTCTATGGCTGACTGCATGTAAACATATTTATTACTTACTAGCTGTGCCACGCGTTGATGTGGCCTATAGTAAGAATTTTCGAAGTAGAGGTAGATTTCTGGCCTATTACAAAAGAGAGGTACCTACCTATTCCTTTCCTCCTTTTTCCTTCCCCTTTCTCTCCTTTCTTCCTTCTCTACCTCTTTCTTTCATTCCTTCTTTCGCTCTTTGGTTTCATCCTTCCTTCTCTCTTTCCTTCCTTTCCTCCCCCTTTCTCTACTTCTTCCTTTGTCTCCTTTCTTCCCTCTCTGTTTCCTTCCTTCTTTCACTTTTTATTTCCTTTTCTCCTTCCTTCCTTCTTTACATCTTTCCTGCATATCCCTCCCTTAATTATTTTAAGTTGATATGTTTTAATTATGTGATTTTAAAGTATATGATGTTTTATTTTTATATGTACTCAAGGCATTGAATTATACTTTGTTCCCTTCAGGGTGAGAAGGGCAGGATATAAATGTGGCAAATAAATAAATAAATAAACATTTGCCATAATCAGAACGTTATCTATCAGATGATCCAGAACAGACTCTTCACAGAAAGAAGTTTCTTGCATGGTTTACTGTAATCAACAAGTCAAAGGTAAGTTTTGCAGTTAGCCCTTTACTCAGGTCTGATTAATTTACATTCCCATATACGGAATATGGGAATATGAAAATTAAACTTAGAGATGAAAACCCAAGTACATATTAAAGAAGTGTTTACTGACTAGAAACATAGGGGAAATATAGTGAAATACATTGTGAAAGTTTTTACCTCCTCATCAGAAGCTAAATGTTGAACTGATACTTCACTTTGACTGTGTGATAATTTTATTTCTTGTTGTGGGTCCGCATGAAGAGATGTATCCCAATTGCATTCATAAGCTTGCATGGTCCAATCCACTGAATCCCATACGATCAGCTCTCCCACATGGGAACCAGTGGCAAACATCACTTCTAGGTATCAAAAACATTTTGTGATCCCATAAATCTCAGCTTATTTGATGCTGAAAGAGTTTTCACTTCAGTATATTTATTACAGGCAAATAGTTTTACCCTAAGACATTTTAAATGCAAGTCCATTCAATCTGAGAAGTTGCCAAAACATTTTAATACAAATCGATAGATATTAAAATACAAAAAACAAAAAACCAACTACTACACTCAATTGGGGTAAAAGGGGAGAAACTGTGGAAGCAAATACACCACTATTTAGTAGTAGTACTAATTTAATTGATTAGCTCTTAGGCCATATCACAATACCAACCAAATAAGACTTGTTAAGACTTGATTGTACTCTATGTAGTAAGTTAAAATAAGGCACTTATAACAATACAGTAAATAAATATATGATAAAACTGATAAAACTAAGTATCTACATCCTATTTCCTTATCACCCCTACAATTTACCCCGACCAGCCCCACATATATGGTTCTCAAACATATTGTTTTGCTTAAATACAAAGCTGTTTTACATGTTATTTTTGGGTCTTGGCCACACATAAAATACGTTATTCTGATGTGAGATTCCCAATACATTGTCCGTTTGATACATGGACCAAGGTACAAGTCTCTCACTTACTGCTACAATTTAAATAGCATGTGTGCTATATCCTCTATTTAGTAATAATAAAACTGACAGCAGTCTTACCACTAACACTGACTAATGACACAATACTGTCCTGATGGTCAATAAGGCGTTTCACTTCAAAGACATCCCATTCAGTTCCATCTCTGGAAGTTTTCAGTCTAAAAATTACTTAGAAAAGAAAAATGGACAACATTTTAAAATATAAAATATTTCTAAAACTGTTTACATCAATAAGAATAATACCGCATGTAACAATGGAGCATGAAACATATTCTGGTATATCTTTAAAACAGAGATTTTCTGTAAATGTCGCTTATTTCACTACTAACAAACCATACTTGCTGAAATTCCCTTTTCTACAAAATCATTAAAGGCACAGGAGCCTTCCCCAGCTTTCTCTCTGGCAATCCTAGTGAAGATACGTTTTTAATGCAATTGTGCTTTGACATCACAATGTATTTGCATGTGATTTAACAGAATAACTTTTTGTATTTGTTCCAGTAGTTCCAGTTGTGTGTGAAAGGCAGAATATAAATCAAATCTATACCAAATAAGACTTACTCAATTCTTTGCCAACAGCTGCTGCCACACAGTTCTTTGGTAATTCAATCATAGAAGTAATATCTTTCATGCAGAAAACAAAAAAATATAATGAAACAATTTATTACAAGCAAATGGTTACCACACAATATACATTATTTCTATTCAGTTATAGAACACTATCTGACCAGGTTTCAAGAGGCCTAATTATATCCCATATATGGGATGCTATATCCAGGATCTCAGTTCTTCCTAAGAAAAATATTAAACGTATTAAGCAGAAAACTAAGCTGTACAAAGTTGTTGTTTTTTTTATTTTAGGCTACAAAATATTTATGTGAAGTAGCATCATGTGAATTGACTTTTGCTTGTACCAATTGGATTTTCTACTTCTCCCCTTGTTACCCCACCCAGTATCTTCTGTGGAAGGATTTCAATCCTCTCCTTCTGCTGGTAACAGTTTTCATAAACTGGAAGATGGACTAATTCAATGCAGCCCTTGTTCTGGTTTTTGGGACAGCAGTCCAGAAAAAATATTTGTTCTTCCCTCTGAACTAACAAAACTAGATTTTGAAGTACAGAACTTTCTTTAACCATCTTAATAAATTCAACGAACACTTTGAAACTCGGAGGCTTTCATGGCCGAAATCACTGGGTTGCTGTGAGTTTTCCGAGCTGTATGGCCATGTTCGGGAAGCATTCTCTCCTGACACAACCTCAAACTATCTACAGACCCACTAAGAAAATTCAACAAATGCTATGTTCAGCAAAGGACAAGAGAGATCCTCTCACCTCTGCAGGAGTCTACCGTATATCATGCATAGGTACTAACAAATGCAGCTCTGCTAAAACACGAATCAAGGAACATGAAAGGCACTGCCGACTACTTCAACCAGAGAAGTCAACCATAGCAGAGCACCTGATGAACCAACCTGGACACAGCGTATTATCTGAGAACACAGAAATGCTGGACCACTCTAACAGCCACCATGTCAGACAACACAGAGAAGCCACTGAAATCCACAAGCATGTGAACAATTTCAACAGAAAGGAGGAAACTATGAAAATGAACAACATCTGGCTACCAGTATTTTTAAAAAAACCCTCTAAAATCAGAACAGTAAATAAAGAACAACAGACAAGAAACAATCAGGGCCAGCTAACACCTCCCAACAAAGGATTCCCCCAGGCAGGAATCAGCCAGGCCTTGAAGCTGCAAGGCCATTAAATGCTAATCAAGGCGAATAATTAGAACATTCACATTTGTCTCCAACAGACATGCGTTCTTTCTCCCACCCCTGGATCTTCCAAGAATATATAAACCTCCCTTGCCTAGTTTCCAATATACCTCACAACCTCTGAGGATGTCTGCCATAGATGTGGGCAAAACGTCATGAGAAAATGTTTCTGGGACATGGCCATATAGTCCAGAAAACTCGGAGCAAAGTTGAAACTCATTTGGTTAAAAATGTTAAGAGCACTATATTTATTCAATATATTTCACTACATCACTTCAATTCTTTAATATGTTTCTAAGATGAAATGTTAGAATCTCATATTTAACACTGATCACCTTAATACACAGTACACCTGAAAGAGTTTAATCTCATTTCTAAAGGGATATATATATACTCATTTGGTGATTTATATACACTGACCCAGCTCACTTAAGTTAACATACAGTTATTGAAGTTTGACATACTTTAAAATTCATAGGACACAGGAGGCTCTGGGTCTTTTTAATTCAAAAATTATGACACTGACATTTTCAAAATAGAGGTCAGCTTTAATATATGTTATCTTTAGAATTAAAGAGACTTTGCCAAGTTGGTTTTGTATCATTATATAGATTCATTTCATTCCCATTTTAACTGTTCTAATGAGTCATTTCCATTTTTTACCTGCATCAATAAGATGGCTTGTCTTACACAAGAGATCTAATTTTCGGTTCCAAACACAAAGATCGCTCCCTCCTGACAGCCATACATCCAGCCTGTGAAGAACTGTCAAACACTGTAAAGCCAAATGAGACAACCAGACGTATGACATTCCTTTGGGGAATTCTCATGCAATCATGTAATCAAGTTTACTTTGTAAGAAATACAACTATTAATGTGATTTTCCCTCAATATTTATAATAACTAGTTGTATTCGCCACATGTTGCTGTGGCCAACCTTCCCTCCCTCTTTCTCTCCTTTCTTTTTTTCTCTCTATCCTTCCCTCCCTCTTTCCTCCCTTCCTTTTTCTTTCCTTCTTTCCTTCCTTCCCTACCTCTTTCCTTCCTTCCCCTTCCTTTTTCTTTCTCTCCTTTCTTCCTTCTCTACCTATTCTTGGACTGTAACTCCCAGCAGTTTTCCTGATTGATTGATCTATCTACCTACTATGTATCTCTATCTAATCTATATATCTTATCTATCTGGAGGATTGCTGGGAGTTGCAGTCCAAGATTAGGAAATAGAAAATATGTATGGATTGGGATGCTCTCAAAGAAATCCAAGGAGAAACAAGCTTTCAGCTTGGAAGCAGTGCATTTGGAGCATCCCCCTCCCCTAAAGGGCCTGGTCTAGGGGATGCTGGGAGCTTTCGCGCATGTGCTGTATTGATGCTTTTTTGGGTTTTTAAGTCCTTTCTCTCCAGCAAAGGATCACCGCCTTGTCGGGGCGCTGGAGCTTGAGCACCTCAATGATGTCATGAGCGAAACCGTGAAGGGCCACCCAAGACGGGACGGTTGTGGCAGAGAGGTCAGACCAAGCGTGATCCCTGGGGAAGGCAATGGCAAACCACTCCAGTATCCTTGCCAAGAAAACTAAATGGACCAGTACAACCAGAGATATGTCGGTATGCCATTGGAAGATGGGACTCCCAGGTCGGAAGATGGCCAAAATGCTACTGGGGAGGAGCAGAGGATAAGTTCAACTAGCCCCAGATGTGATGACACAGCTAGCTCAAAGCCGAAAGGAAGGCTAGCGGCCGACGGTACTGGAGGTGAACGACGAATCCGATGCTCTAAAGATCAACACACCATAGGAACCTGGAATGTAAGATCTATGAGCCAGGGCAAATTGGATGTTGTTATTGGTGAGATGTCAAGACTAAAGATAAGACATTCTGGGGGTCAGCGAACTGAAATGGACTGGAATGGGCCACTTCACATCAGATGACCACCAGATCTACTACTGCGGACAAGAGGAACATCGAAGAAATGGAGTAGCCTTCATAATTAATAAGAAATTCGCTAAAGCAGTGTTTGGATACAATCCAAAAAATGACAGAATGATCTCAATTCGAGTGCAAGGAAAGCCTTTCAACATTACAGTGATCCAAATATACGCCCCAACCACAGCTGCTGAAGAAGCAGAAGTAGATCAGTTCTATGAGGATCTGCAGGACCTACTGGATAATACACCAAAAAGAGACATTATTTTCATTACAGGAGACTGGAATGCCAAGGTGGGAAGTCAAATGACAACAGGGATCACAGGCAAGCATGGTCTGGGAGAACAAAATGAAGCGGGACGCAGGCTGATAGAATTTTGCCAGGAAAACTCGCTGTGTATAACGAATACTCTCTTCCAACAACCTAAAAGACGGCTTTACACATGGACCTCACCAGACAGTCAACACCGAAATCAGATTGACTACATCCTTTGCAGCCAAAGGTGGCGGACATCCATCCAGTCGGTGAAAACAAGACCTGGGGCTGACTGTAGCTCAGATCACGAACTTCTTATTGCCAATTTAGAATAAAACTAAAGAGATCAGGGAAAATACACAGACCAGGTAGATATGATCTCACTAACATTCCTAGCGAATATACAGTGGAAGTGAAGAACAGATTTGAAGGACTAGATTTAGTAAACAGAGTCCCAGAAGAACTATGGACAGAAGTCCACGACATTGTTCAGGAGGCGGCAACAAAGTACGTCCCAAAGAAAAAGAAAACCAAGAAGGCAAAATGGTTGTCTCCTGAGACACTGGAAGTAGCCCAAGAAAGGAGGAAAGCAAAAGGAAACAGGGATAAGGGGAGATATGCCCAGTTAAATGCGCAATTCCAGAGGTTAGCCAGAAGAGATAAGGAACTATTTTTAAATAAGCAATGCATGGAAGTGGAAGAAGACAACAGAATAGGAAGGACAAGAGACCTCTTCCAGAAAATTAGAAACATTGGAGGTAAATTTCAGGCAAAAATTGGCATGATAAGAAACAAAGATGGCAGGGACCTAACAGAAGCTGAAGAGATCAAGAGAAGGTGGCGAGACTATACAGAAGATCTGTATAGGAAGGATAATAATATCGAGGATAGTTTTGACAGTGTGGTGAATGAATTAGAACCAGACATCCTGAGGAGTGAGGTTGAATGGGCCTTAAGAAGCATTGCTAACAACAAGGCAGCAGGAGACGACGGGATCCCAGCTGAACTGTTTAAAATCTTAAAAGATGATGCTGTCAAGGTGATGCATGCCATATGCCAGCAAATATGGAAAACACAAGAATGGCCATCAGACTGGAAAAAATCAACTTATATCCCCATACCAAAAAAAGGGAAATGCGAAAGACTGCTCAAACTTCCGTACAGTGGCCCTTATTTCTCATGCCAGTAAGGTAATGCTCAAGATCCTTCAAGGAAGAATCCAGCAATACATGGAGCGAGAGTTGCCAGATGTTCAAGCTGGGTTCAGAAAAGGCAGAGGAACGAGAGACCAGATTGCCAATATCCGCTGGATAATGGAGAAAGGCAGGGAGTTTCAGAAAAACATCTACTTCTGCTTCATTGACTATTCTAAAGCCTTTAACTGTGTGGATCATAATAAATTGTGGCAAGTTCTTGGTGGTATGGGCATACCAAATCACCTTGTCTCTCTCCTGAGGAATCTGTATAAGGACCAAGTAGCAACAGTAGAACTGACCACGGAACAACAGACTGGTTCAAGATTGGGAAAGGCGTACGGCAAGGCTGCATCCTCTCACCCAACCTTTTTAACTTGTATGCAGAACACATCATGCGATGTGCGGGGCTGGATGAATGCAAAGCTGGGGTGAAAATTGCTGGAAGAAACATTAACAACCTCAGATATGTAGATGACACCACTCTGATGGCCGAAAGCGAGGAGGAGCTGAGGAGCCTTCTAATCAAGGTGAAAGAAGAAAGCGCAAAAGCCGGGTTGCAGCTAAACGTCAAAAAAACCAAGATTATGGCAACAAGAATGATTGACAACTGGAACATAGAGGGAGAAACCGTGGAGGCCGTGACAGACTTTGTATTTCTAGGTGCAAAGATTACTGCAGATGCAGACTGTGGCCAGGAAATCAGAAGACGCTTACTTCTTGGGAGGAGAGCAATGTCCAGTCTCGATAAAATAGTAAAGAGTAGAGACATCAGACTGGCAACAAAGATCCGCCTAGTCAAAGCCATGGTATTCACTGTAGTCACCTACGGATGTGAGAGCTGGACCTTAGGGAAGGCTGAGCGAAGGAAGATCGATGCTTTTGAGCTGTGGTGTTGGAGGAAAGTGCTGAGAGTGCCTTGGACTGCGAGAAGATCCAACCAGTCTATCCTCCAGGAAATAAAGCCCGACTGCTCACTGGAGGGAAGGATACTAGAGACAAAGTTGAAGTACTTTGGCCACATCATGAGGAGACAGCAAAGCCTAGAGAAGACAATTGCTGGGGAAAGTGGAAGGCAAAAGGAAGAGGGGCCGACCAAGGGCAAGATGGATGGATGGCATCCTTGAAGTGACTGGACTGACCTTGAAGGAGCTGGGGGTGGTGAAGGCCGACAGGGAGCTCTGGCGTGGGCTGGTCCATGAGGTCACGAAGAGTCGGAGACGACTGAACGAATGAACAACAACAACAAAGTCCTTTCTGCTGTTTTTTGGGAGCGGTTTATGAGTGATGGTCACTCATTGGTCTGTTAGAGCTTTAGTGTCCAAAATCGTGTCAATTCATCCAATGGTTTTTGAATTACGAACATTACCTTTTATTTATATAGATAGCAAGGACAGATAAAGAAGAATAGCAGTGCTTTATGCTTCAAGATCTCACTGAGGACCTGTTGAGGTCGGATATAAACACTTCAAGGTTTTTCAAAGAATCTATTTTATCACAAATAACATTACATACTATGTACAGTAGAGTTTTGCTTATCCAACATAAACAGGCCAGGAGAACGCTGGGTAAGCGAAAATGTTGTATAATAAGGAGGGATTAAGGAAAAACTTATTAAACAGCAAATTATGTTATGATTTTACAAATTAAGCATGCCGGGTAGTTTAAGCACCAAAACATCACGTTTTACAACAAACTGACAGAAAAAGCAGTTCAATACATGGTAACGTTATGTAGTAATTACTGTATTTACTAATTTAGCCACCAAGAGTAATACCTAAAACCAACATCACGTCCATTTTCACTTACCTTTACAGTAGAATGGAAGCAGGATACTTTGTGAATTTGCCTGCCATTGTCACAATCCCATATCTGTTTTTATTCATTAAGGATCTGGTGACTTATATGTTTAGATGCAGAGTTAGAACTCTAAAGATGGAGATGCACAGCTGCATGATGGGTCTATATCTATTACTGTGACCAAGACATTGTTTATTTATTTATTTATTTATTTGCAGTATTTATATTCCGCCCTTCTCACCCAACAGGGGACTCAGGGCGGATTACAGTGTACACATATATGGCAAACATTCAATGCCAATTTTTGACATAGAATGTATACAGACATACACAGAGGCTATTTAACTTTTCTGGCTGCCAGGGGAGCTGTCGCTTCCATCGTCCATCTGCGACGCTGATGAAGTACTTCCGCATTCCCCGCATGCTTTTGCTGGAGTGTTTTGCTGGAGTCTTTTTTATGGCCTCATAAATTAGTTAATTTAGCCTCCCCACACAAGGTGGTACCTAATTTTCCTACTTGACAGATGCAACTGTCTTTCGGGTTGCAAAGGTCGACAACAGGCTACACAATTGGTTGGAAACCCACTCCAACCCGGGCTGGCTTCGAACTCATGACCTTTTGGTCAGAGTGATCTTAATGCAGCTGACACTCATCCAGCTGCGCCACAATCCTGGTGCAGTAACTTACAGTAACTTCCATTCCTGTCAAACAAGCAATGGGTGAGATATCTATACCACATCTCCCTCCTTTACGCAGTTGAGGGCATGCATTGGGGAAGTGAATGTACAACATCGTTTCACTGGGATCTCTTCTGCTCATATAGCTTTTAGGATCAGAATCTTTGCTTATCTACAATAGCTTTGTTACATGTAAAATGAAAATCTGTCCACACCAAAACTCCTCCAGTTCTCCCAAGGATAATTGGACAGACTGAACTTAAGAAATGAACCACTAATATAGCATGCCTTGTGTTTACCACAGCAACAACCATCCACTGGTCTGCATAGCTCACATCAGTATTTCTCTTAGCAAAAAGATAAAGGATGATGTTCCTGTTAAAGGATACTATAACGGTCCTATCAGCAGCTGCTGTCAAAATCATGTGACATTTTTCTTCACAAGTATCTGACAAAGGAAAAGCTGCAAGGGCTGTAATTTTTTGTGTGTGCGCCTGTAGCTCAAACAGTTTCTCTCCAGTCTGAAAAACAGAACAAAACATCAAACCAAACCTGCTCAATGAAAATAACAGAAAATATTATGAAAGAAAACTACAGCTATTTAGAATACTGTATTAAGAAATTATTTATAATGTTAAACAGAAAGTTATAGAGATCCCTTAAATCAGACTACTGTCATGGGTTTAGGACTTCAATTGCCACAAAGTTCAGTCATTTTAGCTAATAGTAAAGGATTGTGAGAAATATATTCAAAATGGGTGAGAAATGCTGTCAAATGTCCTTCCTTCTATCAAATTCCTCTTCCTTTTGTGTATTTTAGATTGTAAACCATATCCCCAGGAATAGTCATGCTGAATAAAAACCAACCTGAGCATTCCACAAGCACACAATTCCATCATCACCAGCAGATGCAAACCTGATAAACAACAAATTAAAAATTATATGCATCCATTCAAATAGCCTATAAGATGCTAATTAATATTTATTATTTATTTACTTACTTTATTTATATCCCACCTTCCTCCCCGAGGGGACTCAAGGCGGCTAACAGTCACACACTTTGATCAATTTGAAACAAAGCGAATACAAACATGGGAAAAAAACTAACCAAAATTGGGTGTGTTAGGTTAAAAATACAGTTAAAATACAAGAAAACAATTAAAATGAATCTTAAAACACACACATACCCAAATCCCACTCCCAACCTCCCTAGCAACATGCCCCTTATCCTGCCAGCAGAAAAAAGTCCTGATTTGCTTTAAAATTAAGTCACTAACAAATCACCCAACAAAAACCATACCAGAAGTTCAATAAACATCTAAACAGGATGGAGATTTTTTTCTTCACTTTTTCTTTTTACAGATTTCATCTCAAGAAAGCAACTACTAATGAACCAGAAGCACAAGTTCTTGTCATTTTAATGTCTCATAACTGTAAAAGGCACTAACCCTCATTTAAATTGTTTGGTTACTTTTCTTTTCTACTCCAAAGCATTCCATTTATTTGCACGTCTACCACCTCAAGGGAGCAATTTCTGACGTAAGCAATGTTGTCTATGAGGTAGGAATTCATATAATATTAATGTGCATAATTGTATTTAATTCAGAGGAAGACATTTTCAACCTTCACTGCTTGCAGTGCTCCTGGGTTTTATACCGTACAAATTTCTGCCTTACTTGTAACAGTGTTGATGCAAGTAAATGACTAGTACAAATTAGTAAAAAGGTAAAGAACTATTTTACTATAATATATGAAGTGAGGCAGCACACATTGCATATAGTTTAATTTCCACATGACACAGGGAAGCAGACCCAGATTTGCATCTTAGTTTGCACTCAACAAAGTCTAGAGCATACCAAATTAGAAAATACATGTTTGCCACTTAAAGCATCTTTAGTGTTCATCTGAAATATGTATGGATGAAGTGGCACAAAGTACAAATAGGAAACACCAGTTAACCATGTCTGAACTGAAATCCGAAACGTTACATATACTCGCAAAAAAATGCTATTCACATGCCATAAGCTGGGATTTTTTTCTTAATTCTATTAAGAAAAGTTATTCTATAAAATAAAGCTATTTATCTCTCAACACAGAGAAGAGCTAGATTGTCTTTAAAATAATCAGAAATATGAAGCCCAGGATTTCATGTGAAGAGCTCATGACAAAACTATCAATCCCTCAAATGGATTCTTTTCACCAAGCTGGTGTTTCATGGGTCACCTGATTCTTTTCCAGTCATGATCACCATCCTCTATAACCTTGTCTGCTTCCTGGAGGAGCAAGAAATGGTCGGAGGAGCAAGAAATGGTCAAACGAGCAACAGAGAAAGCTATTCTTAAAGTGTGTTATGAATTCAGTCTAGTTTAATGTGTCAAATGCTAGAGTATTACTTGCAATTTTATCTCATTCCATTTTTTGGAAGACTCTTGCTGAGGCTTAGCCTTCTTTAGTGATCTTGCAATCAATATGACCCTCTCCTCATGTTCAAAAACACAAAAGCAAAGAAGTGAAAAGCAGCTGTCTGTTAGGTTGATACAGGATTTATTTAGTATCTTCAGAAACCAATCTAAGAAAATTTTCCACTCACTGGTTTTAGCTGAGCCACCGCGAAAACAAGAAAATCCTCCTGCAAAATTCTCAATAAGATGATATTATCTAAAGAGCTGAAGCGTGAAACCTGGCTTACAACAGTTGACAAAAATGCAATGAAAGAATGATGAAAACTAAATAAAACCGTTTCAGAAACCAAGTAACAATGCTAATGTTATTTGAAGGAATCAAATAAGGTGGTGGTGCCTGGTTTAGCACTGCTCTTAATCACTACATATACTAGATATTAAAAAGTAGAGTAAACTGTTAGAGGAATGCACAGTATTTTACCCCTTTATAAAGGAATTCATCTTTTCCTTTGGCTAATGTTTTTTGAAAAAAACTTACTGTAAAATACTGCATTTTGAAATTGTTTTGAATTTTTTAGATGTGTGTTTTATAGTCTAATTGCATAAATGAAAATGTAATTATTATCCATGGGCTTCACAATATGTATGAATCAGTAAATGCAAGAAATCTGGAAATTACCCTTTGCATGAGAGTCCCACAACAAGCCTTACATGCTGAAAGACTATGGATGAATCTGTGACAGGAATGTCCTGCATTTGCACAGATATAACTGCAAGCTTATATCTAGAACATATGCTCCCTCTTCTATGATTAGCACCTCATGGAAGCAGGAACATCAGGAAAAGCATCTTCTGCCCACCTTGTTCTGTCAATAAATCCCTGGATCCAAGCATCAACCTCCAAACATTTTACAGAAATTAAAGGAAAACTCTTGATGACATTATTGCTTTGCAATGAGTGGAAACTACTTGTAGCCAAATGTAAGCAGTAATTAATACTCCACTGAAGAAAATATACAAAGTGATTTCAGAAACAACCACCTCATATGCAAATAACACACTTCAATGCAGAAGTGGGCAATTAATGGTGCTCCACATAGGTTGCAACTCCCATTAGATCTAGTGAGTAAGCTAATGGAGAACCACACATTGCCCATCACTAGTGCTTAAACTGCTAGGATTTAATTGCAAATCTGTGACAACCGTATGTTGACAACTAAGTTAACTATCAAACTAATAGGAATAAAAAAATATTTCTCTTTGAAGACACCAGTTTAAATCATCTCAACAATATAAGAGGGGAAATTATAAAAGTAATGTCTTACCTATAATCATCTATTGCCACTAAAAATCGCACTATGTCATGATGACCTTTCAATACAAGGAGCTCCGTATAAGGATTCTGTGTCTGCTCTTCACCAATGGGCTGCACAGATTTCTAGAAATCCAGAAAAATAAAACTATAAGTTTGCTTATCTTCAATCTCTGCAACAGGCATTTTCCATTTCTTATTACAGTTGGTATTACCTTATCTGCAATGTAAATCCATATTTAATAGAATTACATTAAATATAAGATGTGTTATGATCAGAAACTACTAAACATACCGACAGCTTTAAAACCAGGTAGGTTCTAGCCTCACATATTAGACTTTAACTAAACTAAAACACTAAAACAATTAGTCTGATTCTATTTATGTTTACTTGGAAGGAAGTCCTGTATTTGCAATAGGATATATCTCATAGTATGTCTGCACAGAAATATTGCTGTGGCAGTTTAAGAACAGTGGGACTATCTGGCAACAATTTTGTGGGCAAATCATTAACATTTGCACAGTTAGCAGTCACAGTCAATATAGGGGAAATACTAGAGGCAGCCAAGGTATCACTATTCTAGGTTCTTTGGATACCTTTCATATTATTCAAAAATATAGACAAGTTACTTGGAAGCAATTCTCTGGATTGTTGCCCACCATGGCTTGTAAAAGCAGGATAGATTTGAAGCTCTGGATTTTGGCAGCAATAAATAACTTGTGGAAAAAATGTTGCTGTTCCCCTTAAAGAAGTAGTAATGTGACTCTTACAAAATAAAATTATTTTAGACCTTATGTATGCAATTAATGTCTGGTCTTCAACATCTCTTTTGGAAAAATGCTGGACAGAATGGAAGTCTCTGTTTTTGAGATTTAGGAGAAAATAGATTCAGAATCTCTGATGAATGCAGACTAAACTAACACTCAACTTTGGGTGTATGTATTTTTTTTACAAAGTTTTAAAGTGTTTTACCCTGTTATGAGTTTTTTTTTTACTAGTGCATCTGGTTATATTTGCTGGAAATTACCTCAGGAAATCTAGCGATATATAAGTAAATAATAAATAAACCCTGATCACTGCTGGCATGTGATACCCAACTTGTTTGCCTAGATTAAATTCATCACTAGAGACAGAACTTCACCATTAGAGTCAAAACTTCCTCTATAAAAGCCTTAAGTCTTTATATCTCCTTTATAGCAGACCAAAGAGCAACTAATTTAAATACTTACTCGCTTGAGTAAAAGGATAACTATAACTTAAGCCAGTAATTCTGGGGGGCTGTTTTATTACAATCACTTATACATTGTAAGTCATTTACTTCATACAGTGATTTGGTGGCAACAGTCCAGTCTAGTGGCTTTAAAATACAACATGATCCTCATATCTGCAGGACAAGCATTTGTGGTTTCATTTATCCATGTCGAAATAGGCAAGATGAAAAGAGGCAGTCTGCTCTACAAATGGGTTAACTCTATTAAAGAAGAAGACTCTGTAAGACTCAAGCAGGGCTATCATTTCTTGGGCACACCTACACGCAGCTCTTGGGGCACATCTACACAGATCATTTTTGGCAGTTTCTCACTGGTATCTGAAAAGGTGGTTTCGCAGTGCAGATGATTACATGGGAAATCATGCTACCAGTTTGAGGCCCAGATGATGATTACACACAGACCAGAGCATTGTTGCACACTGTAGTCATTATTTTGTGTGATTTTGTTGTCTGGCTGCTGCACCCTTTTTTTGACCAGGGACCACTTTGATCAGGGACCACTCTCCAACATTAGTACCAAAAAGATTACAAATCAGTTTTTGGTCAATTTTAGATTCTGTTTGGTTATTTGGGGTGATGATTCAGAAAATTGGATTAGATAGACCACAGCAGCTCAAGTTTTTGATACAGAACATATGCTATCCAGTAGTCACCATCTGCTCGCCAACAGAAAACCATGTGTAATAATCTAGAGCTGAAGTAGTAGTACAGTGTTCCCTCACTTATCGTGGGTGTTACATTCTAGGACCACCCGCAAAAAGTGAAAATCCGTGAAGTAGGGTCGCTATATAAATGCATCGCATTCCAAGGGTGAAGCAGAAGTGAGGAGAGATTTAAAAGCATCACACAACTCCTCCTCCTCCTTCTTTTTTGCTAGCTAAAAGGAAGAGGCTACAAGGCCATGATTTACATACTGCTTTGTATCTCCTCTCTCTATTTTTTTTATGATTGCTGCCTCTCTCCCTAGGGGTGTGTGCGAAACCCCCTTCCACACTCCATCGTTGCCAGGAGACAAAAACCCACAAAACAGCGAGTCTGCGAAGTTGTAAGGGAACACTGTAGTAATCTTTCAGCCTCTCCCCTCCTGACATCTAGTTGCCTCGGCACTATAAGAGTGTTTTGCCGACCATTTTAACTTATGTTTTAAAGATGTATTTAGTTGTATTTGTGCATTGAATTTCTGCTGTTAGCCGGTCTGAGTCCCTCCATGGAGGTAGAGAAGATCGGGATATAAAAGTTTTAAATAAATAAATAAACCACTGAGCTACATTAAATGGTCAGTATAGATCAGTGGTTCTCAACTTTCCTAATGCCGCGACCCCTTAATACAGTTCCTCATGTTGTGGTGACCCCCAACCATAACCCTAACATTATGAATCGCCATGTAAATAATGATCTGTAGGATGTATTTTCATTCACTGGAGCAAATTTGGCACAAATACCCGGTATGCCCAAATTTGAATACTGGTGGGGTTGGCGGCGGGATTGATTTTGCCATTTGGGAGTTGTAGTTGCTGGGATTTATAGTTAACCTGTAAACAAAGAGCATTTTGAACCCCACCAACAATGGAATTGAACCAAAGTTGGCACACAGAACTCCCATGACCAACAGAAAATACTGGAAGGATTTGGTGGGCATTGACCTTGAGTTTGGGAGTTGAAGTTCGCCTATATCCAGAGAGCACTCTAGACTCCAACAATGATGGATCTGGACCAAACTTGGCATGGATACTCCATATGCCCAAATGTGAACACTCGTGGGGTTTTGGGAAAATAGACCTTGAGATTTGGGAGTTGTACTTGCTGGGATTTATAGTTCACCTACAATCAAGAATCAAAGATTCTCTGCACACTGCACTTCCTTGAAATCCAATAGATCACCTGTCACATCCAGCACTTTTTAATCTGTACCCATTACTTAGCCCGGCCCTGTTTTTATTGTGTGTTATGCTGTATTGTTTTGTTGTTTTTACTGTTATTGCTTTAATGTTTTTGATTTGCTTTGAATTGTATTGTTATGCTATTGTGTTGTTGAGGCCTTGGCCTTTGTAAGCCGCATCGAGTCCTTCAGGAGATGCTAGAAGGGTACAAATAAAGTTTAATTACTAATTCTCTCACACCAGAAGCGACTTGCAGCTTCTCAAGTCGCTCCTGACACGACAAAAAAAAATTGCTCTTGTCCATACTATAATATTTAATACTGTAATAAGGAACAGCCAATCCTCTACTTAGCCATATACGACTCATCCCACCCTTATTAGATATTATAAGAAGGAGCAACCACCCCTCTACATGGCCATATACTATTGATCTCACACATATTATAATATGTGATCCCAGGAACAGCCAATCCTCTACACAACCATATACTATTGATTTTGTCTTTATTACATACTATAGCAAGGTTTGACACCACATGGACTTGTAAAAACACAACTCCTATGATTCTATAGCAGGCCTGGGCCAAGTTGGCCCAGGCCTACCGTAGGGAGCACCATTTACCTCGGCCAGGCCCTGAGGCTCGCGTCCCCCGCCTATCAACCAACGCAGCATCGCGAAGCACTAGCCCTCAGCCCTCTCGGTCACGTGACGCTGGCTGTTTGTCCCTCCCGCCCTTCCGTAGTTCCGCCTGCTGGTCACAGCGACAAAACCAAAAGGAAAAGCCTCCCTCCGCGGCTTAATCGATCGCCGATGCTTCCGATGAGATAACGCGCATTGCTTTCCCTGTCAATAGAGAGATAGGCACGATGAGTCGAGTACCGAGCGAGCGATCTTCTTTCTGCTGCTTTGTGATGCTCAGTCGTTCTCTCGAATTGCGCCTGCGCACTAGAATTAATGCCATTCGACACACCACTTTAACTGCCATAGCTCAATATTATGGGATCCTGAGGGTGATCAGCCCATTCTACACTGCCATATAATCCAGATTATCAAGGCAAATAAATAAACCACATTGTTTGCTTTGAACTGAATTATATGAGGCCACATATAACCCTCTCCACCAAAGTCAACATTGACACCAAAATACACCGCCTGAGCTCTGCGAGCGCAGCATTTTTCCGAATAAAGCAGAGAGTGTATCTGTAGGGATACCAAGGTGCTTGTTTATAGAGCTATTGTCCTCCCAACCCTGCTCTATGCCTGTGAGATGTGGACTGTCTACAGGCGTCCCATGCAACTCCTGGAACGATTCCATCAGCGCTGCCTCCGGAAAATCCTGCAAATCTCTTGGGAAGACAAGCGGACAAATGTCAGTGTGCTGGAAGAAGCAAAGACCACCAGCATTGAAGCGATGGTCCTCCGCCATCAACTCCGCTGGACCGGCCACGTTGTCCGGATGCCTGACCACCGTCTCCCAAAGCAGTTGCTCTACTCCGAACTCAAGAACGGAAAACTGAATGTTGGTGGACAGAAAAAGAGATTTAAAGATGGGCTCAAAGCCAACCTTAAAAACTCTGGCATAGACACTGAGAACTGGGAAGCCCTGGCCATTGAGCGCTCCAGCTGGAGGTCAGCTGTGACCAGCAGTGCTGCAGAATTTGAAGAGGCACAAATGGAGGGCGAAAGGGAGAAGCATGCCAAGAGGAAGGCGCGTCAAGCCAACCCCGACCGAGACCGCCTTCCACCTGGAAACCAATGCCCTCACTGCGGAAGAAGATGCAGAGCAAGAATAGGGCTCCACAGCCACATATGGACCCACAAGAATATTGGAGGACAATCATCCTCGGAAAACGAGGGATCGCCTAAGTTTGAGACCACACTAACATATAATCCAGGTCAAATCAAATAATCTGAATTTTATATGGCAGTGTAGATTTATTTATTTATTTGCATTATTTCTACCCTGCTCATATCAGCCCAGAGGCGACTCAGAGCGGCGTACACAATCGGCACAATTCGATGCCATAAAAATAAATACATTGATAAGCAAAAGAACCATTATAGTGCAATTAGACATAAGACAGTGCATAATAACAATATTAAAAGCTAAAAACTATATCCTCTCATTCAAGTCCTTATCCGTTCCATCGTCTTGGCCGTTCCTGGGTCATTTTCCAATTCAAGTTTGTCTATTTATTCGGAGGTTCCAAATGCTTGCTCGAAGAGCCAAGTTTTTACTCTTTTCCGAAAGGTCAGGAGGGAGGGGGCTGATCTAATGTCCCTAGGCAGGGAGTTCCACAGCCAAGGGGCCACCACAGAGAAGGCCCTGTCTCTCGTCCCCCGCCAGACGTGTTTGCGAAGCAGGCGGGATCGAGAGCAGGGCCTCCTTGGACAATCTCAAATTCCTGGAGAGTTCGTAGGAAGAGATGCGTTTGGATAGATAACGCTGGGCCGGAACCATTTAGGGCTTTATAGGCTAAAGTCAGCACTTTGAATTGAACCCGGTAGCAAACTGGCAGCCAGTGGAGCTGGTTCAGCAGACCTTTGTCAAACTATGGCCCCTTCCACACAGTTGTATAAAATCCACATTGAACTGTGAAATGAAAGATCTTAAACTCACGAAGCTGCCACCAATTATGTAAAAGATGGGGCTTTGTTTATTTGAGAGTGATATTGAGAGAGATATTTCTAAGACACCTGTTTATTTCACTTGGGCAAAGTCTTGGAACGTGTAGTGGCCTCACAGCTCCAGGGATTCCTGGTAGACACGGGTTATCTAGATCCAGCACAGTCTGGCTTTAGGCCGGGACATGGTACCGAAACAGCCTTGGTTGCCTTAGTAGATGATCTTCACCAGGAACTGTTGGTTCTACTAGACCTCTCAGTGGCCTTCAATACTGTCGATCACAGTATCCTTTTGGGACACCTCAGGGAGATGGGACTTGGTACTGTTCTGCAGTGGCTCCAGTCCTTCCTTGAAGGATGGTCTCAGAAGGTGTTGCTGGGTGATACCTGCTCATCCTCACAACCATTGACTTGTGGGATACCGCAGCGATCAGTACTGTCCCCCATGTTGCTTAACATTTACATGAAACCACTGGGAGAGATCATCTGGAGTTTTGGGGTCAGATGTCATCTGTACACGGATGATATTCAGCTCTATCACTCCTTCCCATTTGTCACTAAAGAGGCTGTGCAGATCCTGAATCACTGCTTAGCCACTGTGTTGGTCTGGATGAGGGCGAACAGATTATTATTATTATTATTATTAATAATAATAATAATAATAATAATAAAATTTATTTGAATCCCGCTACCATCTCCCCAAAGGACTCGGTGCGGCTTACATGAGGCCAAGCCCACAGCACATACAATAAACAAAAGCAATAACAATAATCTATACAAAACAGTTAAAATAAACTCAAAACAGAAATACACAATAAGCAATAACAATAACATATCGCAACATACAGCATTTAAAAACCCATGGCCGGGCTAAATGTAGTAATTCAAATTTAAAATCAAAAAGTGCTGGGCATGAACAAGGTAAGACAAATTAAAATAGGGTTTTCAGAGAAAGATGAGGGCATGCAGACAACCCTAAATCAATATTAAAGTGCATTTGAGGACTTATTGCTAAGAGTTTTCCTTATTCTGGGAAGGCATACTGGAACAACCACGTTTTCAGACTCCTCCTAAAGACTGCCGGCGTTGATGTCCCTGGGGAGTGAGTTCCAGAGTCGAGGGGCCACCACCGAGAAGGACCTGTCGCTTGTCCCCACCAATCGCGCTTGCGATGGAGGCAGGAGTGCGAGCAGGGCCTCTCCAGATGATCGAAGAGATCGTGTGGGTTCATACACAGTGAAACTAAATCCAGACAAGACAGAAGTACTCCTGGTCAGTCGAAAGGCCAAACAGGGGATAGGATTACAGTCTGTGTTAGACAGGTTTACACTCCCCCTGAAGACACAGGTTCGCAGTTTGGGAGTGATCCTGAACTCATCGCTGAGCCTGAAACCCCAGGTCTCGGCGATAGCTGGGAGAGCTTTTGCACAATTAAAACTTGTGCACCAGCTGTGCCCGTTTCTTGAGAAGTCTGACTTGGCCACGGTGGTCCATGCTCTTGTTACATCCCAAATAGACTACTGCAATGCACTCTACATGGGGCTGCCTTTGAAGACTGCCCAGAAGCTTCAACTAGTCCAACAGTCTGCAGCCAGGTTGCTCACCGGAGCGACATACAGGGAACTTACAACTCCTTTGTTACACCAACTCCACTGGCTACCGATCAGCTTCCGAGCACAAAAAGTGCTGGTTTTAACCTTTAAAGCCCTAAACGGTTCTGGCTTAGACTACCTGTTCGAACTTATCTCCTGCCACGAACCATCACAAAGTTTAAGATCTTCAGGAGAGGCTCTGCTCTTGATCCCACCACTATCGCAAACACGGTTGATGGGGACGAGAGACATTTGAATCTAACAGCTTGTATTTTTCTATAAAAACTGTAATATTTCCCTTTGCAAACTATGTCGGGTTGGCAAATGATTGCAGTTTGACATTCGCTCCAGCTGGAATGAAATAAACAACTTGGTGGCATTTTCTTCAACTTTGGTGAGATTTACTTGGGAAAACTCAGGGAAAACTCCGTTTTGCATGCTTCTTTCTCACCAGGGTAAACGGATCCTCTTTGGTGGGTCTGACAGGCCTCTGACCCTAAAGCAAGACCCTCCAAATTCTTGCTCGATATCGCACACAGCCCTATATCGCAGAATATCAAGGCAGAAAATCCCACATTATCTGAGTGTGGACTCAGATAACCCAGTTCAAAGCAGATATTGTGGGATTTTCTCCCTTGTTATTCTGGGATATAAGGCTGTGTGGAGGGGCCCTAGGAGGAGCAACAGGACATTTCAAAAGCAACAGAAAAAGTGGTATAGTAGAAAAGACAGTTGGAGGATTTTTTTTTCCCTCATCGATCTGGTTCTGTATAAAATAATTATTCCTCTTTAGCAACACTTACTGTTTGATTGATATTTGTAAAATGGAATGGAAACCAATGAACTGGCATTATGCATTACTGTAAACATATTTATGCACATTTAGCCTGGGTCTGCCTTCCACACACTGGCACCTTTCAGATGAGATAGGCTACAACTGCTGCCATCTGCCTTGACATGCTGGATAAGGATGATGGGAGTTGCAGTGCAATACATCTAGAGGGCACTTAAGTGGGAATGGCAGATATTAAGTAAAAACACATCTGCCCAAACACATGTTTTAAATATTTATATCTGCTGTGTGGGTGAAAAGTACAGTATAAATACAGCAAATAAACAAAAGCTCAGAAGTACTCTGCTTAGAAATGATCAATATTGGACAGGTTTTAAACATCCATAGCCCATAGTGCAGCTTAAAGGTGAGCTGGCATGCAAAACGTCTGTTCCATCCCTTGTGTTTAAAGAAAATTGCTATTGATGGGAGCGCTCTTAATGCAAATTAACTGAAAGGAGCTTTTGCTAGGATACGTCTTGGTGACTTAATTGAGCCCTTCTTTTTGTCATGATTTTTGTATTCTAGAAAGAAATTGTAGATTGCTTAATGGGAGCCAAGAGACGTGCAGTAGTATAAAATTGAGCTGATCTCTCCCACAGTATCCCTAATAGCTTTTCATTCATAATTACAGTATTCCTAATGAGTGTTTTGGTGATGGTAGAAATATACCATATATTATCCATTGCCTCATTCCAGTGCAGGCTTTTTAGCTAATGGCATATTGGCACCGACTGTGCACAGTCAACGATGAAACATT